TCTCGTATTGTAAGAACATAAAAATCCACTAGATAACATTAGGTACAGCTTCGGTGTGTAGGCTTATCCAACCGACATTCTCAGATAGGTCGTTTCAAGAGGCGACTGAAGCAATTATTTTGCAACATATTAGGCTACGTTCGCTCATATACGATAGGTGGTTTTGGGACTCAATACGATGTGATGAGCAATCAAGTGGGAACATTTTCTTCTTCTTTATCTATTAAGTGATAAATGTGAGTTCCGTTCATCTGATTAGTACACCTTCTGTGTTAGCCTTCTACCATGTTCCGAAAATGAAACACTAAATATACCACTTGATATATATGCCCTGTCCAGAGATGTTTAGCACACTTCTCCAACAATGGTAATACTTAATAATGAAGTATATTGCCACTCGTACATTTAGTGGACCAAGTACATCTTTGTGAGGTTGAAAATCAAATCCGGGAGAGCACTTTGTCTTGTAAAGGCCTACTGAATGAAGAGCTGAAGACTGGGAGCCTGTCTGCCTTTAATCACATTAGGTCGTTCAACATTTAAAATAACTGCCCTGAACGCTCTATCACAAAATCCGCGAAGCCTACACTACCAAAGCAGCACAAACTTTCTACCACCGGAAACTTCTTCACCAGAATCTACAATTCCGTTGAGACTCATCGATAGAAATGACGAGAAACAATCCACTCCGTTCACTGAAAATACCTTCACAGCTGATCTTAGATTCCCTATCTCTGAAAAACCAAAACTCAATTTTTAGCCAGATCCCTCAATGTACGAATGTGATTGTGCCTCAAACTGCATGTCGGGATTTCGGTAGTCGATGTATCAGGATGATTGTTTTGAAAGTCCTTTCCACGCAACCTATCAACAGTATTTGAAATTATCTGTATATTTTAGTCAAATTTATATTCATTATGCCACATGTCTGAGCTTTGTTTCATCATTTGGATATATCCTTTAGAGTCAATACTTCCGATTAGTCTTATTCGATTGACTCGTCATCCCAACACTTCATTTTATTGTGTTATTGTAGTGTTGATAATAAAATGTAATATGACCGTTTTAAATACTCGGCTTCAGTCAGAGTGAAGTTGCGCCATGAAGTGGTTGCTACAAACAAGTTTTGTTTTATTTAACTTTTGCGTGTAAGATATCAACCTTATTTCTGCTTGAAATTAACTAGTTGGTTTTCATGTGTTTGTTAATTTTATTTAGATTATCACCCAGTACTCTGTGAAAGGTGCTGCATACTTATGATTTTAGGAATTTATTTACCACCCCAACTCTCTCCCATCTATTGCTGTTGTGAGAACAACATGGCCAATCAGGTTGTGATGCAAATCCATTGCAGGCTTCAACAGTGAAATTCTTCCGATTGACATGATGATAGTCAGTTGCCTATTGGTCATCTGCCTATAATAATGTGGTGTTCAAATTCAGATTCATTGGTGTTCGTCGGTTGGTCTCCAAGCTTCGTCTGTTTAGTGCGCATTGATTGTTTCTCGCAGAAAAAATGTTAAGAAAATAGTGTTTGAATTAGATCGTACAAACTCATTGAAAAAATAGGACGTGAAGAGCATGGCCAACGAAGAAAGATTGGTTGCTTAAAGCAGTTTGAACGGTACATACACAGATATGAAAGAATTTGAATTTTTTTGATTACAGCTTGATTCCACACTGTTTTTTTGGTACAAGTGGGGAATTTTCAGCGTGGATATCGGTAGCACGAAATTCGCAGGCCGACCATAGATATCAAGTGTGTGTCGGCGTGGGCTCGAACCCCGGACCATGTGCATGGTCGGCGAGAGTCCTAACCACTGTGCCACCGACGCACAGTGACTAAGCGTACAGTGGAAAACAATCCACATCTATAGGAAAGAGTGCAATGCAAGTAGATTGCATTTCTCTATAAAGTGTGGTATTTTCACTGTCATTTGCCAGGATTGGAAAAGATCCTTGATCAAGCTCTGACGCCAGAAAACTAATCCTCACCTTAGGCTACTTTGGTAAACAACTGGAAAAAAGCAGAAAAAATAATGGCGACCTGACAATGAATCAGGACTACGGGGTTATTGCAGCCGAAACTCTGTTAACGAAATTCAGCGTAAACCACAATATACTTCTCACCGCTTTCCTCCTGTCTTTTGCCGATGTGCATTAAGGTCATGACCTTTGTTTTTCCCCTTGCCAAAATAGAAACCTATTCGAGTAAATAAACCGTTTGCTGCTCATTTTTTAAAATGCGGTACATATGTTTTTGATTATAGCTTGATTCCACACCGTATGTTACCTACAAGCATGCAATTTTCAGCATGTGATATCGGTAGCCCAAATTTTTCAGGCCAACGAATTGATATCAGGTGTGCATTGACAGGCGTTTGACCTCGGACCGCTTTTATAGTCGGCGAGGGTCATAACCGCTGTGCCACCTACGCACTGTTGCCAACACTGGGACTCGCCTTATTCTGGAAGATAGGCATAAATGTGTTCTGGGGACCATACAGTCCTTCTAGATCATGTTCTTCTGTGTTTCACCGAGGTTTCTCTTCCCTCATGGGTGTAAACTGTTTGAGTAATAGCGAGTACGCCATCTCTGGAGTACCATGTGGAACATTTGGATTGGGTTTAAATGGATTATTCTTTGTGTGTGTGTCAAGGAACTTATCCCTAAGTTCCTATTGTTACGAAGACCCTCCGAACCGATGAATACTATGTACTTTCTTCGAATTTTACTGCAAAACACCAGTATTGTAAGAAGGAAGTTATATTGTTTGGCAATTAAAGCGGAGAACAGTAAAAGTCTATAAACAAATGTCTTATACAAAATTATGAAGCACTTTTATTAGTTTTCGTTCGTCTTCGTCGAACTTGTACACGATCGAACCATTCGTGCCCTCGAGTTGCCAACCAATGGCTACCAGTTCCGAAAACAAACGTTCTGTGTTCACCTCCATTGACAGTATGTCTGTCCAAGACGACTGATGGTGTCGTATTTGTAGTAACTGCTTTTGTCTAAAAAAACGTTAGGTCAACTGAAGTTTTCTTAACAAGCGATAACCTTTGACCCATGCTGGCAGTTCCTTAAACACTCAGTTTTGTGGCACCACTTTTTCGTCACCACTAAACGACCTTTAAGATTACACCTTGATATTTAAGTAGATCAATCACTGTCAACTGTATAGTAATGTCAGCAGGAAGGAAAATCTACTGAATAGTTTGGTTTAAACATTCGTTGAGATACATATATCTCCTTCGAAGGTTACAATTCGTTCGTTACCTGAAGGCTGTAAGTTAAAAGCAGTCTCTTGCTCTATGGTATTCGGGAGGTTAACTTCTACACCAGTAACAACACAGTAACAATTTTTAAGACTTTCGCCAACGGTTACGGTTGCTGCTAACGTGTAGTGTGTATGCTCTTCTTAACATTTATTTGACTGCGATCTAGAAAGCAGTTACTCGTGCGGCATAAAAGGAATAGCTGCAACACACCAGAAAAGGCCACCCCGATTGCAGTGTAGAGTTAACCCCTTCCATAGAAAGATAGGATGCGCTCATGGGTTTGGGCACAAGCACCCACTACTCATCAAAAGACACCACGTTATCCTAAATCGTGCGCATATAGTCGTGTGTGACTGCACCCGGACTGTTCACGTAGTCTCATAGAACACAATACGGCCATATATACAGGTTCACGGTGTTATTGCACCACAGTTTCTGGACAAACACGCAAGTTTCTTGAACAATGTAATACGGAAACCGGATAATACCATCATCTGTTAAACTGGCAATTGTATGGTGGTCGACTAAGCAAGACAGATCCACGCACACCCAGTACACCCAATCTTATCCAACGTGTCAGGTGATCCACAACGGAAGAGAGAGTCGTTCGAAATGCATACAGGAGTGAGATAAGCTGGCTGTTTATTATCACTAATGATATTCCTAATTGCGGTGAACTAGATTATGCGTCAGGCGGTGCGGATCGAGGTGACAGGGTAACGCTGGACCACCTATGACAAGACACTAGAAGGTGTGGATTTCGCAGATGATATATGTCACATAAACTCGAAGACTTGCAGGGGAAAACCAGTAAACTGGCAGAAGAAGGTAGCAGCGAAAACAAGACTGCAGCTGAACATAGAGGAGACTAGGTGATGAAGATAAGCAACCAACAGCAACAACAGCCAGCACCAATTACTATCACCGAGAGATTCAACTGAGATTACTTCCCTTATTTATCTAGGAAGCATCCTTTTAACTACAGATAGAATGGATGAAGATGTCAAAGCCAATCAGAATAAGAAAGGCGAGATACACCTTCAGCAACCTGAAAACAATTTGGAACACAAGGAACAAGATTCGGGTTTTCAACAGCAACGCCAAGTTGGTCCTTCTATACGGGTCAGAAACTTGGCGTGTAACGATAAGGATTTCGACGGGTTGCAAACTTTTATCAACAGCTGTCTTTGCTGCATAATGAAAATCAAATAGCCAGAAAGAATAAATAACAAGAAACTGTGGGAACAAACCAATCAAGACCCGATTGCTCAACAACTACGTAGGAGAAAATGGAGGTTGATTTATCGGACATACATTGAGGAAACTGTCGAATGACATCGCGCGCCAGGTCATCGCTCGAGTGGAATCCCAATGCGAAGTGATGAGTGAGTCATCTTAGGGTCACATGGAGGAAGTCATCTGGCGAAGGGGAAATGATGGATCGTGAGCAATCGTGATCCAAGCTGAAGTGGATGGCAGAAGATAGGACAAGGTGGAGATGTGTTGTTGAAGACCTATGTTCCACCAGAAACTCAAGGAAATAAAAACAATAAAATTAAAACGTCACGTGACAACTGACATCTTGTCTCACCATGCATGCAAGATAAAATGTTTTTCCAAAGTGTCATCCAACACTACATCTCTGCACTTCGACATCTTGTTTGACTAGCGTTGTCTCGAGTGCGCAAAGGATAAACTTGACCTCCATTTGTCCAAAGATGAACACATCTGACTTGGCTCTAATTGGTTGTCGGGTCAGTATTATATCTAAAGCGAAGATAAGATATGAGGGAAATCTTCACTCTATAGATTTTGACACACCCAATGAACCGGTTATTACCCTGTCAAAAGGTATTTTCAGTGTGAACTATAATGACTTTCAGTTTGGTCTTTCGGCACAGAGGATCGTCCATGTGAAAGGCCGGTGGCTCCAAGAAACGAAGAATATAACCAGGTGGTGTTTCGTGGTCGAGATCTGGATGATGTGCGCGTTGTGCATTCCTCAGTATTTCTGAATGAAGATTCCGCAATTGTTAGTGCGGCACCCGGGGTAGGTGTTTTTTGTAATGTATTACATATTTTTCAGTCCACCTTATCTCATCCTCCTGGTATACAATCAAGTAGTAGCAGAGGACGTGGGGGTAATTTATATTTATTTGATTCAGTGAATAATAGATTTGACTTCAAATCGTGCTACTACTGGACGTCCCGAAGTACCTCCAGCAACTCCACCTCAGTCTTTTTCACTTGATAGTTTAAATCAAGATAATTCTCCGAGCTCATCGAATTATCATCCACCTGTCGTTGGTTCTCGCCCTGGTCCTGTGGGCACAGTTCACACGGAGAAGTCTCACTCCGATAATCGTGGACCAAGACCCTTCGGTGATGGACGCAGTGACATAGACCCAAGTATGTTTGGAAGAACAGATACAACTGCGAAAAATATGTCGGAATCAGGCTCTAGTTCAGGGCGACAACGTCATGTCCCAGGCTCTGGTCACCATGATTACTCCCATGCGTGGACTGGTAGAGATCACGCGGTTAGGAAGGGAGACACCTATAGGAATGCGTCCAGTTATAATCAGGGCCACGATTATTCAAGAGATAGAAGAGGGGGTTTCCACCAACAATATGCATCGAATCATCGTGGATCTAGGGGTTCTGGACACTATGGGGGCTGGAGTGGGCGCTCTGGTGGTGGACATGAATGGACGAAATATAGAACTAATTCACACGCTACGTCGGGGGAGGCTACTAACTTCTCAGGTGAATATGACTATGAAAGAGCTAATGCAGAACTTGCAGCGGAGTTGGAGAAAATAACCATAAATACTGTAAGTCTTGTTGGCAATAGTTATATGCTTTTTTAAGAAGACAGGATCGTCTAATGCCTCAGCTGACAATACTGACAATGACGGTAGCAGCGCAGCTGGAGACGAAAATACTTGTTATGATAAGTCCAAGTCGTTCTTCGATACTATTAGCTCGGAAATGATGGACCGTGCTAATGGGTAAGTAATAAAAGTAGCAGCAACTTTTTCATTTCAACCGCAGTATTTTAATTGTTACATTTTTGTTATGACTCCCAGTAGGATGTGGTGACTTTTTCAGTGGACCGGAAAATTTCTGTGCGTAGTATATGCGCACTTTGCTCAATAGAAAGGGATTTTCGTCCAGTCTGCGCAATCATGCGACAAGGTGATACCTATTAGTACTGTAGACTAGATGCAAGTGTTGTCCAAGCAGTCTGCCACTTTTAGCCAACAAAGTTGACTGATTCTTAATCACGGACTCAGTGTAATGCGTGAGGGACTGGGTGTAAGTAAAAAGCAACCAAAAGCTTCCTAGTACATATCTAATCCAGTTGAATTAGTATATTTAACGACCACGAGCAGATAAGCGATCTTTGGACTAGTAAGTGGGGGGGGACTAGTCTGAGGAGTCACAATGTAATTATGAAATATAGTTGCAAGTTCCCATTTAACAAGTAAATTTCTAGTATGATTGGAAATGTGTGCTGACTGGAGTTATTAAGTCTACAACCTCAAACAAGAGATAATCTCGCCATTCCTACCTTAATTACAAAAATTAGGATGTAATGACGTCATATAATTCAGCAAAGAAAGGTTGCCATCAGTTAAATGTGTCGTGATTCTCATAAGGTTGTTTAAATAATTTCCAGCTGTTATCAAACGACACTGACTTAGGAAAACTTTTTTAAGGACTGAGAAAGCACCTTGAAAAAAGTTGTTTGAGGTTGGACATTCCTATTTACGATAACAAATTGGAATTAGTTACATATGAAATTTTGTCTCTGTGAGAGAACCTTGCAGTACTGTAAACTGTATCAGCATGGTCAAGTTATTCAATGAGATATTTCACCTCGAATTTTCAAAACAATTTTAGATTTGGTATCCTAAAGTTGCTCTTTATATTTACTCATACTTTTTTTTATTGTCCTGTCGTTTTTCTCTATCACTTCCACCTTATGTTAGTATGAAGTTTGACAAACTAGACCGGTTCATCACAAATTATCATTGTTCGCTATAACTGAGTTTATGTACGTTTCACCTGTTTTCGCTCTTATTCACATTCTGAAATCCTCAAGAATGAATATTTGTGAAGTAATAAGTATGAGAAAAGCCGCTGAGATCAACTGACTTCTCGGAATTTTGCTTTTCAGTTGCTTAAAGACAAAATGTGAAACATGGTACAAATTAAGAAATAAAAGGTATTAAAGGAGGATTCATCCTAGTTACTGCCATTCCAAGTGTCTTTATATGCATTTAGAAGCTGAATACTCGCTCGTGTTGCTTCTAAACTAGAAAGCTAGTTCTACCAGTATAATCTATTCATTTTTGATTTTCAAGATAACCAATGTGCCTCTTGGAGTTATTTATTGTTTCTTAAATAAAAATGCGAACTCAGAATGTAGCTTTTTAGCAGTGAAATTTCATTGGCATCCTGTAGATTCATCTGTTTTGCTGATTTGTGCTCAGTCGCTTTCAAGCCACCTCTCATTGACATGAGTATCTGGAAGTAAACTGAAGCTAAACGGACCACTATCATACAGTCCTAAAAGATATCACCCGGCAGGGCTCTGCGTGACCAGTCTTTTGTACTACTTACAGTTTCATGCTTTTCGGAGGTGTGCAATGAGTGATTATACACGAACGTTAACGAGAATACCTCCAGATAAAGAGTATGTGACTAGCTGTTGGTCGTTTCCTGTTCTTAGATGTCTCCAAATAAGAAACATGTTGTGGTGGTGAAATGTCTTGTGTGCAGGACTTTCTTACCTTTTTAAGGTTGTCTACCTAAGACATGTAGAACCTTGACTAGAAATGCATCATACGTCACCGGGAAGAAAATAGAGGTGAAATATTGTTTCAGTAGCCCGGAAGAAACATTCGAATGAATATTAATTTAGTTTTTCAGACTTTTGATGACGGATTCCATGTAAATTTTCGGCGGTTTTGTATATCGTTGGTTCTGGATGTCTCGAGGGTGTCAACACCTCTTTTTTGGATCAATATAGATTTGTGCATTGTGGAATGATGTCATTGTTTAATTTAAAGACATCCTTACCTTGATTGACATAGAAAAGCGACAGCTCACCCAGTCGCCTCATATTGATGAAGTCTCACAATTTCTTCAGTTGACTGTCATTTCCCCTCAACCTCCCCTCACTTTGATTAGCACTTTGAACACTTATTGGTTTTCAGAGGGTATAACCGTAGTCACAGTTATGTTCAAGATCAAAGTGATCGGTACAGTGAGTGATTAAAAATATAATCCACCTACACATTTAAGGTGTTTAACTAATTTTCACTTGTGGACCAGAAGATTCACTATTACCTTCTAGGAAGTCATTTTTTCCATTTAATTGGTTGCTAAATGTTTTCAGTAATGCATCATTTTTCGTTTCCATTTATAGTGTAAATCCTCAAGGAATGAATAGAAGAGATGAAAGACTTCTAAATTCAACCACATTCGGAACTGTTCCACAAATGTACGTCCGACGAACGGGCTATAACAATCAACGGTCTTTCGGTTATGGCCATCGAAGAGGTAATGCATCTAGTGGTAACTTCTGGCGTTCTTCTGGCACCGGACATAATAAAACAATATTCACCAATTCACCACATACGCCTCTTCCAACCTCGGGACGAGCTGGTTGACGAAAACTGTACATTTAAACACATTTACTCAGTGCAAACTATTTGACGGAGAACGATAAGTTGATATGAAACTATTTCGATCTCAATTTGGATGGCTTATGTATGCCAGTCCTCGCATCTGTATGTGATTTATCTATTTATCATTATTTTTGTTTGAGAATGCAGACTGTAAAAGTAATTATAGTGCCAATATTGTATTCATAAAACTCTGGAATAGAATGGTTGTCTTGAATATTTTAGCACGGCTGTTGTTTGTTGTGTTTCGTATTCATTTTACTTGTTCATACGTCGTAACTTGGTCCAATTTCTACTCCTTACGGGATAATCATGTAAATATTTGTTCTACACATGTACTTCAATTATTCACAGATTCCGTAAGTGTTGTTTATGCATTCAATTCGATTGAATTCCAGCATATATTACATTACTGGTTTATCGTATTGCTGCGTTTAAATAGTTTCTACAAAATGTAATGCATGTTCATCGCTGATTGGTTTTGAGAAAGCTGGTGACTACTAGAGAAGACTTAATAATTCACTAAGGACTGAAGTGTAATTGTAGGGCCTGCCAAACTGTATGGTATTTGGATGTCGATGGGATTGGTTAGATTTTTATCTCAGTTTTTGACAAAAGAATATACTAGTTATTGTAAGTGATTGTATCTAGTCATTGTGCTTAAATGGATGGTAACCCTCTTAATGTAATTATACAGGATCAAAAGTTCATTTTTCAAAATTCATTCTTGAATCATTTATGACTTATTAGTGTAAGTCATTTATTTATTTAAACGCATAAAAACTTGGTACAATATGGCACCAAGAAGGATGCGCCACGCAATAATAATAAAACAACATAGATCAAAAGAAAAAAATATAAGTAGGAAACAGATAAAGAATTTCATCTGGAAGGAAAACAGTCATGCTTAACAAGTTCAAACAGTATTCGTTAACTGTCATCGGGAAGGGAAGAAAGAAGGAAATTGCAACACGTGTAATAGCACGGGATAAGTTTCATTGATTGTTTTTGCTGCTTTATTCAATTCATTGTGTGAGGGCTTGAGATACTCCCCGGGCACCTAGACCAAAGCAGGTGGTTTTTTTAAGGGACTACCTCCCGAGCCTTTGACTTAGAGTCTTATCCGCAAGGCAGCGTCAGGAGCTGCATTCCCATGGTTTCCGGTGACCCACATGGGTTCATACGCCATTTGATCCGATTGGATACTGGAGCTCATGTACCCCATGGTAACTGATTTTAGTCTAACCGCTATCCAAATAACCTTGACATGGTAGGACCTGCAGGGACATGAGTCCCAGTCAGTTTAGCATGTTGGGTCATTACGGTATTCAAGCCCGACCACTACGACAAGGTAGCAATTATCGGCTGGGAATGTAAGTCAGTGAACTAAACATGTTACTGTCTAGTTACTGTCACAGGTTTTGTAGAAAACTACTGGTGGATTGTGCGTTTTGCGTTCTTCTGCTGATATACGCGGAGAAACAGCTGGTATTGTGGCGTGGTAGTTCGCGTGTCCCGATTACTTAATTATTTATGGGAGTTGTAAGAATTATGTCGGTTGGTTATTGGCAGAACAAAAGCAGCTGTCACCTTATCGAAATTTTATCCGACTTTACAGGGACTAATTTGATTAGCGTTGCGTTCGAAGACTTAATGTCTGCCAACAGAGTACTATTATTGTGGAGATTACGTAACGTGGAAATGCTTGACATGAGTTTTTTTTTAGCTCAAAGTAAATTGCTTTCTCACAGATCGCATTTGTCAATATCCTTTTAATAGTAGAAAGTGAATTGGTTAAGCAAGTTGACTTCACTTACATAAGAGGCTGTATTATAATCAGTGGTTTAATGATCTACGAAATAAGGGTTTTGTCTAGCCATCAGAAGTTTACGCTGTAGGTATACTTACTGCTACTAATGTAAGCATAGAACCAGAATGTAATCCCATATTAGGTTAGTCTATTTTTTCACACATATACTCAATAGTAGACGGAATCCAATTCACTTCTGAGTTAGAAAACGAACAGGGTGAAATTTGCCATGCTAGACTATAGAATAAGGCGAAAACAAGATAGTGGGCTGGATACTAGTATTTATAGCTAACCGATACACCAATAAATACTTAGATTTTAATTCATCCCATCCAGAATCGGTAAAGATCGGGTTAGTTAAATGAATGGGCCGAGAGCTTAACTAGTAAGGGAAAAGATTTAAAAAATGAAATCAAACAAATAAAGGAAGTATTACTAGTGAATAACCTCCCACCAGAATTTATTGAAAAATATAAAGAACCATAGTAAAACTAGGATTAGCAATGCAAATGACAAAAATGACAATAATATGGAATCCGAAACCCCTGTAGTACTGACGTTATAAAGAAAGAACGTCAGAGTCTTTACGTCGGATTCTCAGTGAGTCTGCAATTAGGGTGACATTAAAACCAACCAACTCTCTCCGAGTTAAACTTTGTCGGCTTAGGGACCCAATAGACCCAACTAAGAAGAATAATATAATTTACCAAATACCATGTAATGATCTTCCTGATTGCAGTAGATTGGATGATGCGACAGACAACGGGCAATGAGGAATCAGGCATAAAATGGACCCACACAAAAAACTTGGAGGATTTGGACTTCGCTGATGATATATGTCTGATTTCCCACAAACTGGAAGATATGCAAGTGAAAAGCAACACGTTGGTAGAAGAAGCATCCAGAGAAGTTAGGACTTCAGGTGAACATAGAGAAAACAGAGGTGGTGAAGATTCCTGGCCAACGACAACAGACAACATAAATGGGAAGAACCTGAAAGAAACAACCTTCACACACCTACCTGGGAAACATCGTTTCAACTACAGACCAATAGGACTGACGAGGATATCAACGCCAGAATCGGAAAAGCAAGACAAGTTTTCATTACTCACAAGTCTGTGTGGAGGTCAACAGCACTCATCATCAAAAATAACATCCGGATTCTCAACTCCAATGTGAAGTGAGTCAGTCAGTGCTACTATACGATTGGATCAGAGACTTGGCCAGCGCGTCATAAACAGCATCTCAAACAAACTACAGACCTTCATCAACAGCACTTGTCTTCGCTCAACACCACTCAAGATCAGATGGCCGGGCGGCCAGAAAAGATCAGCAATAGGGTGGGATCTCTTGCAATGAGCGAACCAACCCAGCAGGAACCGATTGTGAAACAAATAGGCAGGAATAAATGGAGATGGATTGGCTGGCCATACGCTGAGGAAACCCTCAAGTGACATCACACACCAGACCATCGCTCGAGTGGAACCTGAAAGGGAAGCGGGTGGCGAGTCGGTCGTCAGTGCATGGGTGGGGTGACTTGGAGGAGGTCATGTGAAGAGGAGATGAAAGCGTGTGGGCAGACTTGGAGCGGAGTGAAACAGTTGGCAGAAAACCGAAGGCAGTGGAGACGCGAAGCTGAACCCCTGTGTTCGTTTAGGAATTAAAGGATGTAATAATAATAATAATAATGTAATGACAGTTGATCGGGGTCAATTAGATTATTGGAACATAAAGAAATTGGGTTACACCTATGATGATTTACCCTACTGAGTTAAATAATCTAGAAGAAAGCCCATCCATTGCATTGCATTCACTTGCATTTAATCACAAAATAGGATAGGACAGGGTGAGAGTATTAAAAAGTAAAGTAGGTGGAGAGGGAAGTTAATCACTGAAGCTTTGTTTATAGATTCAACACGGCACACGTGCAATCGGAATAATCCAACACCTATGCCGGAGATAAAGAAAGGGAAGTTGGAAACAGAAAGATAGAAAAAAATATATAAGACAAGTTGTACAACTGTGTGACTGAAATTGGTATGATTACTAATGGTAATAATTTATGCTCGAAACTTTATCCAGTTGTTAATACTGCATCGCTGTGTTGTATCTAAAATAAGCTTATCTAATGTTTGGCTGTGAAGGGAATATCGAGAAAAAATATTCCACTGATCAAGGCAGTCTACTCGAACTCATGCAGCCAGGTAAGTGCTTACGGTGAATTGTTATATGATGTGGTGACAACTAGTGGTTTCCGTCAGGGGATGCCCACTATCTCCATTTCTATTTATTTTCATCATAGATGTACTCATGCACTTAACCCTAACTCAATTCAGGGACTGACTTGTTACCATCAGCGAATAATCTCGTTGACTTGGAATATGCAGATGATATAGTCCTTCTAGGTGAGGACGCTGATAAAATGCTGAGTCTTCTGAACACCTTGAGCTACTATCTTCGAATGTGTGGCATGCCATTCGCTCCCACCAAATGTAAGATGTTGCTAAAGGGTTGGACTACATTGACTCCTAGCTTAGTAACAGGGAGTGAAATGGTAGAACGCCTTGACCACTTCACTTATTTCGGAAGTTGCATCAGCCCAAACGGATTGATCGCTGAGGAAATCTCAGTACGGATATAGAAGGCTGGTTTCGCATATGCCAGTTTACGCCGTTTCTGGTGTATACGTAATATCCAGCTATCGATCAAAGAACATGTATACTACTCAGCAGTGCTCCGTCTTCCCTTATGTCTGTGAGACCTGGCCAATGAAAGTGGAAGACATGAAAAGGCTAGCTGTCTTTGATCATAGGTGCTTGCGTCCTATCTCCCGTGTGAAGTGGTATGATAGGGTGAGCATTATTGAGGTAAGGAGGGGAAGTCAGTAGACGAGGCTCTGAAGTTACATAGATTTATATGGTTAGGACATGTGTAAAGTATGCCTAGCCGTCGCCTTCTTCGACGGGCAATGTCCGCTGACATAGGATCAGGTTGAAGACAAGCTAGAACCACGTAGGAAGGTGTAGACTTCTTAGTTGGGGTCCTCGGGACGGTAGAAACCAATGGCTGGAGACAATTGGTGTTATGGCTCAAAATCGTACTCAATCACAGCGCAGATGTATTCGCTCCTTGTGACTTATAATATCCAATAAAACTATATCATTCTCCCATGTTA